AAATCAAAAACAAATTCAAAGGAATAGCACATGAGCAATAGCCACACTGCTATTTGGACAAAAGAATAAACAAGCAATTAACAGGATAAAGAGCACTTCAAAGAGTCTCCACATTTGACCTCACTGCCCCACATCAACCCCAGAAGTCAAATAACTCCCTCATCAAAATTACAATCTTTTTGAGGACAACAGCTCCACCATCTACTTGCACTGCTTAACCTTGACCAACATCCATGGCGGTTCAGTCATGTCTGTGATTCCCACTTTAACTACATACTCAGCCTCTCCTTGCAACTGCGCTTCCTGCCGAGGTGGTTAAACCTCTTGTGGTGTACAGGAGAAAACAGCCATCTCCTCCCCAAGTAAAGAACACGATTCCAAAGACATGCCTTTCCCTGAAATCCTAATTAACTTTCCAAACTCATCAACTTTTACAACATTTCTTATGAACCAAGTACGATTTCCTTTTTCAAAGCTTAATCCCATCTCCGAGGGACAAAAACATGCCATGGGTTGGATACATATCTTCTCAGAAGGTCAAGATTGGATCACTGAGATCTTAGTGAAATTTAGATCATCTTTCATGATAGTTCTCAGGAGAAAAATGCTGCATCCAATGAGAACTCAAAGAGGAATTCAACGCACGAATAAAGAGAATGCTTCTTCTGTTTTAATACAACACACACTCTTCACTTAGTACCACATGAACAAAGTCATGCAGTGGTTACTTGACCACTAGATAAATTAGGGTCCACTTGGTCTCCGTTTTCTTTGATGATATAATCAATTTACCGGGGACTTTGAAACCCCAAATCTCAAAGGAGGAACACAGGTTTGCCCTCAAGGTTTCCGAGCGCTATTTTCTGCCCTCTTTGCAATGGATGTTGTAGAATAAGTAATCACTTAACACTTGGGTGTAGTCTTTGATCAACTGCAAATCACTTTTACATGCTAATGCCACTTCAGGCTCACATTTTTTTTAGTTGTCATAGTATCACCATTTTATTCATGAGAACCGTTCAGGAGAGTGTTACTTGTTAATGGTCTTGAATTTTGATGTTTTGGACCAGCCCTGTAGTCTAGGGATTAAGGGAGCTAGATCCTACATGGTTGACACTGTAGTTTGAGTCCTAGGCCCAGCTTGAAGAACGCACTCAACATGGATGCATGTGTGCCCCAAATTCCAACAGGATGGAGAGTGGAGAAGCTTCTACAGCATGACCATGCCCCATGGGGAGTTCCCCTTCACTCCACCCCTGCACGTGCTCCCACACTCTCTAGCAACATAAATAAATAAATTGTGATGTTCTACCAATATCTGTTCCCTTACAGTTCTGTAGCTGCTGTAGACTTGTTCTTTTGCCATACCACGTTACGCCAGCAAAGTATTTCTTACGTTACGCCAGCAAAGTATTTCTTTGTCAACATCGGGGAGGACATGGAAAGATAGAACTAAAGGCATGGCAGTTAATGAAGGTGGCTGGATCCAACATGGCCCACTCCACAGTTGAAGTGTTGGACTTGAAGGCTTGGAGAACACACTAGGCACATGTGCACGTGTGCCCAGAGCCCAAAAGGGAGGAGAAATGGAGAAGAAACTGCATTGCCATCCCCATGCAAGTGCTTTCTTACTTTCCTTCTCTCTCTGGTAAGTGGACATGATGTCCTCTGGCAAATTAGTAAAAGGAAAATTTTTTAATGTTATTAAAGTACAGGTTTATCTTGGTTAAAAAATCATAAGCCATGCATAGCTTTTTCCTAATAGGCATCTTCCATGAACTTTTTGAAGACCCCTGGTGGACCTCACTAGATGTAAGGAGCCTGGGGCCAAATATGAAATAGTACTGGACAAAACAAGGCTACTAATGTCCCTTCATTTAGTACCTGGCTACTCAATTGTCTGCAGATTATTCCCAGCCTCGACACTGTAGACTGTTGACAATTGCACAGCATTGCAAAGGATGAAAACAATGCAACTCTGTATCTTCAGAAACAAAAGCAAGCCTAAGGAGGTATGTTAGATCCGTTACAATAGAATAATAATTATCACTAAGGACTTGCTGCGAAAATTGTAGAGTATATGTGCATATTTTCTTATTTAAAGGGTCACAACTCCATGAAGAAACCACCGAGCCCAATTTCCAGATGAGGCAACTGAACTTTCAAAGCTAATTTACCCAAGGTGGCAGAGTTGAAATTCAATAACCAGGCTGCAGTTGACCCCAAATCCTGACTCTCAACAACTAGGTGGAACTTTCAAATGTCAGCTTTCAATTGTGATAGTCAGGGTTGCCTACTAGTCAAGGAGAAGTTACAAAACGTACCCTAAAAGACACTGACTGCTACATACAAGGAGGCTTCAAAAAGCTCAAGGAAAAAAATGGAATTAAAGTATGAGTTTATTTTGGTTCCCCCCAAATTTGAAACCCAGGTAGATTTTTTAATATGCATTTTCCACAAATTTTTTGAAGACTTCTAATATTTGCTACACACGTTTACAGTGATTCCCAAGTATCACCTCGACTGTACATCCATAATACTTTTTGTTCACAATCAAAATAAAACCCAGAATCAAAATGTCAGTTGTGCAGTTGTTGCATTTCTTTGTGATGTCCTGATTTCTTCCCCAATAGACTTGTGAGAGCGTGAACTATTCTCAAATCTCCCCATCACCCTATGGACTCTTCACAGGGCAAACATTTAATAAACATGCTGAATGAACACAGACTTAGTACGAAATGTTACTTACAAATGCTTTCCACCAGAAAAAAATCGTGGATAGAAAAGCTATATAAACACAGAAAGAACTAAACTTGATTCAGAATGCACCTCTAGTTAATGCTCTCTCTTCAGAGGCATTTTTATACACGCAGGATTCATACAGGATACAACTAATGTATAAGCTGCTACTCTTCTCCGAACATTAATAGACGTGATTATTTATTATCACGACAACAAAAGCGAGAGTCAACACTCACTCAAGACGGCCACAGAACAATCTAATTGTAGAAACTAAGATTCCTCATCCCCTCACTAGGTACTCTCCCATTGCGGGAGTGATCTTGGAAGATATATCTCAGACAGTCTAGCCTTTACTTCTGAGGCGTCACCACAAACACTTTCCTTCCTAGAAGGGAGGTTCCTTAAAACAGATTTATTTTCCTTTTACATTCCCAAATGACTTAAGATACTATCTTGAATACCATAGGGCACGGCTAATGTGTAAAGAAAAGAATGAAACATGTTAGCACCAGTTAAGGTACACTGACCCCATACAATGCGAGGAGAAGCAACAATCTTAACCATTAGTTACAGAACAGGCCGGCCTCCTCCTGAGAACTTTTGAAACCATCTGCCTTCAAAAAGCAACAAAAAGTTGCCAGAAGACTATCATTGTTGGCAACAAAGTTCCATTCTATGCCAATAGCAAAAACAATAAATAAAAAAAGACATCCAAAATAGAAGTCACCTGGAATGATCATCTGGGACCCTGGGGCTCTTGTTTGGATGCTTACTCAAGTCCCTAAACACCCAGGTCCCTAAACACAGCAAAAAGGCGAGTCTAGAGAACATCCAGGAGTTGTAAGCCTCTTGTGAAGATGTATTTAGAAACGTATGTAAAACAGAGAATCATGTATCCAAAAGAACAGAAAGCCTTCCAAGCTGCTGTACTTCCAAGAAATCTCCCGTGAAATACGTCAAGAAGTTACATGGAGACAGACAAATGGTGTCTAAAGAGCCAAATTGATAACTCTCAAACTTGCAGTTGAAGCTGGTAAACCCATCGCCCATAACTTGAAGAGTTCTGATTGTGCCCTTTCCTACTTGCAACGCTGGGGCGCAAATGAATGACGGGGTATCAGCGTTAAATTTAAATTTCCTGGCTCTGGCCACAATGCTAACCTAATTAAAGCATGTGGTCAACGTTTAGCATTTTTGGTGCGATATTTTGCATCGCTCTGGCTAGCAGTGAGAGTCGAGACAGTTGCATCGCTCCTCCGGCGTCCCCGCCAACCCCGCCACCGGAGGTAAAACCCTACCCAAAACGCTTTATTAAATGGACAGGAAAGACACCCCCACCTCCCGCACCGCCCACAGACCCCGCCAGGCGGGACTGGGGGCTGCACTCCCACTACCCTCGCCAAGAACACTTTGAGCTCAGTCTGAGCAAGTCACTTGTGTCAGCGCTACTTCCCCACGGCCGGGACCACCCCCGCCCGCGGGCCCCCTCGGAGCAGCGTGGCTCGGGCTCGCCTCGCACACATTTCCCGCCCAGCAAACTGCGGCCGCGGCGGGGGAGGGGACGCGGCGGGCGCCGGCGGCAGAGCCGGGCCGTCGGGCTGGAC